TGTTCGATTAATGGCCAAAGCGTCAGACCTTTGTGATAAATGTGAACAACTTCGTGTTGAAATCCGGGTTACTAATAATATAGAAAATAAAAAAAAACTTCAAGCTGAATATAATCTTCACCGTGTAACTGCAGCAATTGAACGCCAACACTATAATAATAATATTAGTATGAGTAAACAATTAAAATCGGAAATTGTACATATTTGCTACGACTGGGCCCAAAATGTACAAATTCCTTATTTGCCACAGCAACCTGGAGGATTATTTTTTAAATCGCCATTCAACGTTCACGTATTTGGAGTTTCTAATACTGGTTTAGAAACGCAAAGAAATTATCTTATTGGTGAACATCAGCTTCCAAAAAAAACACCTAAAGGCGCCAATACAACTCTAAATCTCGTATATAATAGTTTATTTCATTGGAATCCATTACAAAAACACTTAAAAGTTACATGTGATAACTGCGGGGGGCAAAATAAAAATAATCTTACGCTTTGGTTCTACTCATGGCTTACTATTATTAAGCGGTTTGATACAATTGAACTAAATTTTATGGTCCCTGGTCATACTAAATTTATTTGTGATTCATATTTTGGAATGATTAAATCACGTTATCGTAAATCTAATATTATGAGTATAGATCATGTCGAAGCTATTGTAAATCAATCAAAAAAAGATGAAAGTAATATAACAGTTAGATATGATGGTGAAGGATGGAATTATTATGATTTTGAAAGTTTTTTAGAACCATATTTCACAAAAATTGATGGTATACGTGCATATCGCCACTTTTATTTCTATCACGATCAACCCGGAAAGGTTTTTATGACACTAGAATCTAATGGTTTAAAAAAAGAAGCTATTATTCATAATAATATTTCTTTTAATCCATACCAACCTTTAACTATAATTCCCTTAAAGCCTTTAACTTTAAAGCATCAAACACAATTGTTTAAAGATATTCGTCCATATATTCATGATCCTCACAAAGACGAATTATGCTTTGCTCCAAATGAACAGGATTATATTGAGTAATCATTTTTTTCGCTTTTTTTTTTTTTATTAAATTAGTGTAGATCACTATGCATGATTATGCAAAATCCTAAATTTAGAACGTATATTAAAAATCTTTGAACGGGAATTTTAATAAATCTTTATATGACATTACATAACAAAATTTGCACTAAAGGTAGAGCATCTGCTCAAGAATATGATCCAATGAATTATCAAAATTTGATCAAAAGTGCCCGAATACTCATAACGGTACGGACTGACCCATATATTCTTTTAATTAACGTTCCAAGGTGAGGTTTGTCATCTTTAATATTTGTTAAGTATATGTTAAGTAATAAATTCACAATTTGATAGGCAATATTTGATATGTCGATCTATCTACACATTGTTTTAACAAACCTAACGCTAATATATACGGTTTATACGTATGTACGTTATACGTACGTAGGGATGATTCGTAATTAACAATTTTTTTTAATGATAAGTTATCTAAATATATACCAAAAATATCTTTATGGTGTACAATAGATCTACCAATAGAAATTATTATTACCAATAGAAATTACGTACATATTATTGTTATGTATCACTTCAAAACAATGCATATTAATATTCCATTAAAATAATCTTGGTAACTTTTGTGGGACGATGAGGCGTTCTTTAACCATCGTCATAATTAGAAAAAGGATAGGGCTGAAGAACATCTCTGCCACGATTAACTATATAAACCATAACATGGGTTTAGAGGTCTGAATTAAACCTTGTCAGTAGTATTATAAGGTTTTTCTTAGCTTATATTTAGGCAAATTTTAGATATTCCGTTTTACTCCGCATACCCAATACGTAATAAAACAATAAAATGTCAGTTACATTATGCAGCTCAAGCTCTATAAGCAATCATAATAATAATAATGACCCATATAGTATTGTCTCTTCTTGCACACCTTCAAAAAATCTCTTAAAAATGAACAGTGATAGTATACTCACAAACAGAACCGATAAATCTTCTCATAAACCATGGATAGTGAAAAAATTAGAAGAACTTAATCCATCATTAGTATTAGAAAATAATGCAAGTGTTGCGAGAGACCATTTGGGTGAATATAAATAAATGAATATCATTCATTAAATGTTTTCAAGACTTTCAAAACTTATTCTTTTATTTTTTGGACATTTAAGCCAACGAAAGAACTTTTCTCGCCTGGCTCCGAACATCCCTTTCGTTCATAAGTATTGGGATAGGTGAGTTGACATCTATTTATATATATAAATTTACGTTTTATTGTTACTATTAGTATTACCATCATTTTTACAATTATTATTGCCCATTATTATTATTAAAAAATTTTTCTAACGTAATATTATATAAATTTTTTTTCAAAACGATATCAGCGATAACCCAATTATTTAGGTTAACAGGAGGATCACCATCCAATTCTCATAAAGATGATAAAGCTGGTAAAGGACTAGGAATAGCTTTTATAGTTCTTGGAATTGTCTTTCTTGGTTTTGGTCTCTTTAGATATTTTAATTCTCAACAACTTATGACAAAAGGTAGTTTTCCTGCCAGTAGAGGTAGCGTTATATTAGGGTCCGTGTTAACAATCTTAACGCTAGGTGGTTGTTTCGTGGTTATATTGGTTATAGATAAATGAGATTTATAACAAATAAAATAAATGAGATAGATGAGATCATGTAAATGGCCCGAGTTGGAGGAATGTCCTGTTCTCGGTTCCCTCGGTTCTAATGGACAGATTCAATCACGTGCCATTTAACAATTAACTAATTTTAAAATCATGTGAATGATTCTAGAGAATTCTAGTTAAACTTAAGGCAAGTTTATAAATAAACAAACTATCTTTATCCAATCTGAGTAAAATAATTCTTGAATTTTTTGAATTTTTAACATGTCGTATTTTCAATCTCAATATTCTAGTTTAAGAGATTTCTCGCCCTTTGATGCTTTTAAGAATGTGCAAGACATAAGCAAGCCTGTTCAACAACACTTGCTTAAGGTCTACCTAACTCTTAGTACTGTTTGTTTGACTAGTGCGGCCGGAGCTTACGCTCATACCCACGATTTGTTCTTGTTTAATGTATGTTTTACACTGATCTCTTAAATTTTGTTAGTAGATTGGTTAACGACGGATTAATAGAATTTATTAAACAACTTTAGGGCGGTCTCTTGTCCTTATTGTTAGGTTTTGCATCGTTGATAGGCATTATGTCTACACCAGACACTCCGAATAACAAAACTTTACGTTACGCTTTATTATACGTATGTCATGTTTTTTTAAATTATTAAAAATTGTAATGTCATATATCATATTAAATAGATTGTATAATCTCGAACTTTTATTTTTTTAGAATTTTGCATTCATGGAAGGTCTTTCAATTGGGCCTCTTATCGAACTTACACTTATGATTTCCTATAGGTAACTTTTGTTTTTATTATTTCACATTGACCTTTTTATTGTTGACCATTTTTTTGATTTATTTTATAGCTACCAGATTATAATCAATGCCTGTATCTTGACCTTCTTAATCTTTGGATCCTTCACGTTAGGCGCTCTTTTGAGTAACAAGAGAACCTATATATATCTTGGAGGAATATTGGGTTCTGCGATGTCAATGTTACTTTGGATGTCATTCATTAATGCGTTCGTTGGTTCCGTGGCTTTGTTCTCTGCAGAACTTTACATAGGATTGGGAGTGTTTTGTTTATATGGTAATTACTATTATTGATTTAATTTTTTTTATCAATTTTATTTATTTATTTTGTATTTTTAATTTTTTTTTTTTGTAGTTATATATGATACTCAACTCATCATCTATCGTGCTACTCAATATCATTCTCGTGATGTTGTAAGCCATACGCTTGATTTGTTCATTGACCTTATCGGCATATTCACTAGATTAGTTGTTTTGATGACTGATTCTGAAAGAAAATCAGACAATAGGAGGCGTAAGAATAGACGAGCTGAATATGTCGGACTCTAACCTGAATCTTTAGTTATGTCTATATGTTAATTATCGCAACAGACTTGCAATAAGCATCGTCGTTTAATAAGATTAATTTTGCGTCGAACACATTCGACTTTTTTCATCGTTAAAATATATATATTGCTTAATTCTAGTTATAATGCGTTGTATATCAATTGCACAAGGTTTGTTATTAAATGTAATTATAATCGCTTTTAATTAATAAAGTTATCTTTTAATTAAACAAAAATTACTTTGAATAATCTTGAAACGAAATCAAATTTAACTTTATAAAGCTCACGTTTTGGTTATACAACAAATTTTTTTTTATTTAATCTAAAAAAAAAGTATATATATATAAACAACAAAAAACCAGTTAAACCTTGCTAAAATAACGAGATAGTTTAAAAAGTTTTTTTTTTTTTTTTTACAAAAAAGATTAAAAACAAATGAAAAAAAGGAAAATACTTTTTAGAATTTTTTTTTTTCTTTTTTTTTTTTTAAAAAAAAAAAATTGTTAAAAAAAAACGAGTATATAAACAAAAGGAAATGCAAAATAATTATCCCACCCAATTTTTTTGTTTTTTTTTTAAACAATAATACAGAAATGTTTAAGAATAATTTTTGGATTTTTTTTTTTTTACTACTTACAAAAGAAAAAGAAAAATGAAAGTCTATGCAATTTAAACAAGAAAATAAATGTCCCAAGAAAAAAAAAATAATGTGTCCCAAGAAAAAAGAAATGTCAAAAGAAAAAAAAATGTCAAAAAAAATAGAAAATGTCACAAAAGAAAAAAAAAAAAAGAAATGTCGCGAGAAAAGAAATGTCACAAAAAATGTATAATGAAAAGACAATAATGATAAGCAAAATTTTTTTTTTTTAAAAAAAAAATTCTAGCCTGCTAGTTCTCTCCGAAACACCAATCTCTTAATATTGTGATTTCGTAAGTCCACAAATTCAATGATACCATATTTAAATCAACAGTTCATAACAGGATCTAAATCAACAATTCATAACAGGATTTTTAACCAGTTTCACAAGATGAAATTGATTAGGTGGAGGCAAAGCAGGAATATACCTTGGAGGAGGAGGGATATGTACAAATTGACCATGATTATTACCACCATGAATAACACCATGTCGTGGAGAAGTTGTAATTGGAATTAAAATTTGTTGAACTTTTTGATGAATACCGTTTCCATTTGAAGGAGTACAAACTTGTACAGGAATAAACATTTGATTAAATTCATTTCCACGTCTTTGGTGATATTGTTGTCTTTGTTGATAATGGTTTGGCTGTCTTCTTTTGTGCGAATATTGATGGTTTTGTTGATTTTGAGGATATTTATGGTATTTTTTGTTACCATTACCATTGTAATTATTATTATTATTATTACTATTATTATTATTATTATTATTATTATTATTATTATTATAATATTCATTTACAAAATCATTTTTGACACCGTTATTATAATAATCATTTACAAAATTGTTTTTTGAAGAAATACGTCTACGTGGCGGTTGTTGAGGTTGAGACATTCTAACCACAACTTTAGATAAATTTTGAGGTGGATGAACCGGAACAAAAGTTGGTGGCATTGGTGAATAAGGTGGAGGTGGTGAGATCGGTGGAGAAACTGGTGGAGAAATCGGTGAGATCGGAGGAGAGATCGGTCGATGAACATTATCAACTCCATCGGATGTAATAGAGAAACGTTGTTTTGATAATAAAATTTTTTCATAAAAAGCCATTTTACGTTCGATAAAAGTATTAATTAAAACTAATTTACGTAAATGATTATTAGTGTCCTTTCGAATGTTTGAATTATTGGTTGGTTGATTGCTACCTATGGACTTTATTTTGATGATTGAAAGCTTATAAATATAAGTGAGATCGATTACGGAAGTTGAAGTAGCCATCTTTTTTTTTTTTTTTTTTTTTTGATACAAAGAATGAGTATTAAAAACAAATATTATTAGGAATGAAAAAAGAAAAAGAAAAAAAAAACAAAGAAAAAAGATTAAAAAAAGAAATTAACAATGAGAAAAAATATGCCGAAAAAACAAAAATGGAATATATAATAAAACAAAGCCGGCTTTGTCAAGTTCCGTTGCGAAAATATGGAAAATATGGTAAATATGGTGGTAAATATGGAAAATATGTAAAGAATAATATTGAAAATTGTGCAGGATGTTTTTTTTTTTTTTTTTTGATATTATCTAACAAGAACCAGTGAATAATTATATATATATATATAATATGGTTTTTTCGTGAAAAAAGAATTTTTTACAGAGGTCGTGAAAAGAAAAAAAAATGAAAAGATGAAAGAAAAGAAAAATATATTAAACGATTAAATGAATATAATGTCCTTTAAAAAAAAAAAAAAAAAAGAAAAAAAAAAGATGAGAATTCCTTCAAAAGGGAAAAGGAATAAAAGTAATGATATTTATACGGAGAACAAGAACCCAAACAAAGGTCACAAAGTACTCCTGTGTGGTATGTACTATGTAATGCGAGTGGATAAGCCACAACCACAATATCACAAACTCGATTTCTTTGTGATCGCCCAATTTGATTTATTTCAAGGTTATGCGTATGGCATCATTGTTCGTTTGTTTATCGTGTGTTTATTAAATAATATATTAATTGCTCATGGAGATACTATTTCTTAGCTTTTAATAGTACGCAGTAGTTGATGAGATCACAAAGGATGTAACGTGATGCTAATGTTAAGTATTATTATCCTAACGAACATAAATGGAATAAATGTAACAAATTGCCTTGTGCAAAGGAGACCATGTAAACAAAATGTAAGTCCGGGAAACACTAATTCTTTCATTGCATCTTTTTTTTATTTTCCTATTTAGAATAATTTTTATTAAATTATTCAAAGGGAATGATGAATGTAGGAGATTAAAAAAACTTGGTGATAATTTTGGTGATCTGGCTGAGTCAGATTTCCAATCGATCATCGCTTTTATCACCTTTACATGAAATTTACCGCTGGGAAAGTTGTAAAGATAATCCATACAATTTAACTCGGCCATACAATATAAACAAACAGATCTTTTTAGAACACCTAGAAAGAAATTTTAATATTAAAAAATTATTATATGTAACAGGAACTTTACGAAACAAGGGAGAGTCAAACATATGTATAAGCTTAAAAGGCTTAATAAGTAGAAAATTTGGTTCAGATACACTAACCTTTGACATCATAAAATAGTAAATATGGAATTTGAATTTACCTACGCCTTGTACGTACTGTACGTAGCTTATATGAAAATCTATGAAACAACAGGGTGAATTTTCATTTGATCATCGAATGCAATTCAACATTGGTTATCCTTTTCCGGTTTAAAAAGTCCGATTTTGTAGGTTTCAGTAAATCCTTGCACTGATGCAGAAATATGAACCCTGTAAAACCGGTTAGTATTCATGATAATAATCACGATTTCGGAATTCTAACCCTTTTAGATATTTGATATCAAAAAATATTCTAAATAAGTATGAATATATCCTTCTTTGCTCTTTTCTGATGTCATTCGAATTCTTATTGTTGATTATCAAAATTATTGCTACGTATGATAAAAGGTTCCCTGTCGTTCCGTTACTAATCATTTCAGTGAATTTTTCGTAGTAGGATTTAACGATGATACTTCTAAATCTTTATGATAAGGCTTAGTTCAAAGCCTAAATTCTGCTCTTTCTTCAATGTCGATCTGTCGCTTAGCTTTACGAAAATTCTATATTCTAAAGTCTAAAGCAATCAAATTCTTAAATAAATCAAGCTATGTAACACATACGATAATCAGTCAAAAAAAAAAGGTTTTCATACAATGGTCTGAAAAAGAAATGACAAACCTAATCATTGTTTATAATTTTATTTTAATATTTTAATATGATCTTTTTAGGTAATTGGTATTTGTATTTCGATTTGATGATATCGATCTTTCTCCAAAAATCTCACATAATTTGTAATCCATTACCCTCGCTAGAGCATAAGCATGCAATTATAAAGATCTAATTTTAATACGTACGTACGTACGTACCGTACATATGTACCTACGTACTCACATACGTATGTACTTATATAGACCCTACCTAAAACATTTTAGCATACGTAAAGTAGATTGATATTATTTGATTTGCTAAAGATATACCCGTTCAACTGTGCCAGTTTAAACTAAGATATCTTTTACTGTATACTATTCGATATTTGATATAATATGGATAGTGTTAGGATATGATGGATACTGTATGATTGATATGATGGATATGATGGATATGATAGATATGATAGATATGATAGGATATAAATCAAATTTTTTAAACCTCAAATCGAAATTATCCCCAGGTACAACTCGGTACAACTCAGTACAACTCGGTATAACTCGTACAATCCATGGAGGTAAGAACATTATAAAAAATATATATACATATCAGATACGTATCAAGATTATGTACGGTAATATATCTAGATAAGTTAGATTTCATTTCTATATTAGTACTATTTAAAAATCATATGGAATAGGTCCAAGACTTTCCACGTGATATGTTATTACTGCATTAACTACATTTACTGTATTAAATTAATCAACCCTTTGATCACTCTATTATGTATATTGTTAGTCCGTTGCATGCTGTTTGTCGCAATTGTTAACGGCCACTGTGTGATTGTAATCTTAAATAGAATAGTCATAAGTCTTTTTGTTTACTCAGTAATTGTTAATAATCTATATATATATATGTGTGTGTGTGTGTGTACAAGCGCGAATTGGTTTTTCCATGCAAGTATTGTCTTCAACTCTTTCTCAATTCTTTTATTTAATTCTTTTATTCAATTCTTTTATTCTTAAAAATTTCCTGCTGTCTCCTTGATTTCCTTGATTAATGCGTGTTTAAAGAATCTTTCAAAAGTCTTCCTCAATTCTTATGTGATACGTTTAGATTGTGTACCATATGCAAATCATATCGTTATTTCCTTTTCTGGTGATAAATATCTGTAACACGACACATAAATACCAATACCAAGATACTATTCCGGGATCAACGTAAACAAATGTGTGATTCGGACAAACAACATCTCTCTTCTGATCCAAGAATAATCTTAAATGTCGGCGGTATCAGAGTAATATATATGATCACGTGCTCCTTCTTGATTTCCTATCCCCAATTCCTAAAAATTTCTAATAAGAAAAAATTGATTTTATATTATTAGTACGAAACGTATAGATCAACTCTCCTAGCATATCCTCAAACTCTTCTCGGTACAATGTTTCAACCACGTAATGACTCCTTACTTCAACCAACCAATAATGGCCTCCATAATCATAAGAATGAATATTTTTTTGACAGAAATGGCTATGCATTTCGTTATATTTTAGAATTCTATCGTACTGGTAAAATTCTTTGGCCAAAATCCATCAACCATTTGCGCGCTCCCGTTTCTCAAAATTCCTTGAAACCTTCCATTACGTCTTCTATGACCATAGATAATGACAAGATGGATTGTTCGGCTCATCAGTATACGATCCCAACCGCTACTGATACTTTGGCAAAAATAATGCCTGTGTCGTTACACGAACTTCACCGTGAACTAGAATTCTTTCAAATTCCTTCTTCCCTCTCTCTTTCTTCTCCCGCTTCTCAATCTTCAATCTCATATAACATAGCCGCTCAAATTCTTGATGACTTTATTTATATCATAGAATCTTTAATTTGTGAATCAATTGAATCATTTTCTCAAAAAATTACTATTAAATTTTATGAGGATTTTCGGCCTGTTGAGGTTTTTATGGCTAGATATCGAAAAGATGATGCATTAAAAGGGTTTGAAGGTTGTGGTTGGGAAATTTTGGATTTATTTGAACAAAAAATATCTAAAAGACTGAAAATTATGTTTCCAGGATTGATTACTTATGTTGGTTATGTTAATTCTAATGGTAGTGTTAGTAGTGGTTATGGTAATAATCTAAGTTTTACTCTAGGAAATACTTTTCCACAAAACTATAATGGGAAAAAAGATGTTAAAGCTAAAGTCTATAGATTATGTTCATTTTTTGATCCAAGAGAAGTATTAGCCAATACCTTGAGTTTTGAAGATATTTCTATCTCTGGAATTAATAATAGTTCTGGTGGTGGTTCTTGCGGTAATGATAATATTAATGTACCACCTAAAAAATTATAATACTCATCGTAAAATATAGCGATATCTAGAAGTATCTATCTATACAGTATATATTATACGTATATATTATATACACACACATACAGTATAAATATATATTCGTATATATATATATATATATATATCAGTATCTAATCTTACATTCATTATACAGAGATATATTATCATTGTTAGCCTATTTGCATAAATAAAATAAAGTTTTATAGATAATATATGCGTAGCGTTAATGTATAGAAAAAAATTACTTTGATAAACTCCAATAACGATAATTTAAAACGTCAATGAATTTTTATTTATTATTTATTAAAATTTACACATTTGATAAATAAATAAACTTTGATTACTAAATCATTACTAAATCCTTACTAAATCGGAGATTCATTTCAATAATCCTATTTAAATTAAGATGTAAAGAATTCTTAATTCATTCATCTGTAGCTTCTACCATATGATGCTGGGAATTCCCATTTCTCAAGTAAAACGAGTTTAAAGTTTATTCTAAAATATATGTAATACGTACCTTGACTCATATATTTTTAAATTGTTTTTTGTAAATTTATTTGTCAATGGTTGAGCTTGATCAAGTGGTGTTCAGATGTTCTGTGGTGACATGCAATGGATGTGAAACTCGGGGTAAACTGAACTTGGAATCTATCTTCTACATATCAATATATACGTAGGTACGTACGTACGTACGTATGTGCATATGTATTAAAGATTCTATTAAGCATATACATTCATTCATAAAAAAAAGTTGCATTAGTCGGTCCAATAAAATCTTTTGCTGTCGACATACCAACTTTCTCATATCGCGTTCATTACAGGAAAGAAATTAAAAAATGTGGTATCTCGATTGGAATGTCTGTAGAATTTCAAACTATTGGTGAAAAAAATCATTGGACTGCTGTGTAGCATTGATGACGAAAACAGTGCATATTTTGGCTTTTGAATATATTGAGTAGATAGCTAGTCATGACAGTAAAATCACCAAAATATCTTCCCCAGCATCGCCACCAAAATTTTTTCGATCACATGATAGCGCCAAAATTCTTTAGAGTTTGTTTATGTTAGGATTAGAGTCAGAATTAGGGTTAGAAAAGTCTAGCATATTGCAAAACTATCCAAGGAATTTTTTTTGTTAGAGCATGAAAAGCGGTTTCTTAGGCAAAATTTTGAGTAAAGAGAGATTT